CAGGCTGTCCTTGTCCCTCTGCCCGAACAACTGCTGACATTCTCTAACGTATTTCCAACGTTCGCCTTTATGTGTCGTGTCCTGCATTTCACAGACTGATTAATTTATTTGATCGATTGTCATCCTTGTGTTAGCAAGGATCATACTGTATGCTCCCGCGCAAACAGCTGGTTTGAGTGAATTTATGAGCCGTGTAAGGACGCGGCAAGTTCTGTGTTCGCGACGCGAAAATCCGTGGCCATAGGCAAACTGCGCGGTGTGCGTCTCGAGAGCCGAAAAACGTCGGAATCACCCAGAGAAACCTTGAGCACTTACGGTCAGGTCGCATTAACTGAAGCAAAGAATAAACCGCAAGGAGGGAGTTCTATGCAGACATTTTTGCCGAAGACTTGGAAAGCAGCCGCGGTATTCACACCGTTACAAAAGCCGCTACCTGTAGGTACGTCAGGGTGTAAAACGGCCCAAGCCACACCGAAGGTCAAAGCCTGAAGCGGGTAGAAATATAGTCTCACATGGGAAGCGAAATACGTTGGAGGAAGAGCTCCAGGCGTTGAAGAAGCAAGTGAGTACCCTCCTTGCAGGAAGTATCCCCAAAGCTGAACTTCGTAGAAACCTCCTTATACTTAACAATGAGGAGCCGAACATAAGAGAATCAAAAGCCCGTAGGGAAATGGACAGGCGTAGAGTCCATGACCTACTCAGGTTAGCTGGGGCTCCGCCTAATTTGGCAATTAGGAGAGTACACCGGGTCGGGAGGTGGAAAACGCCACACATGGAAGCAACACAGGTACCAGCTAGACCCATTCTGGTGGAGTTTGCCAGACCGCTAGATAGGGATATGCTACTATCCCGGGCAGCTTTAGTTTGGAGTGTTACTAAACGGTGTTATAGAATAGTCCCTGATAAACCCGAGTCAGAGAAATAAATAGAAGACCGTCAACTTACATGACGGGAGGAGAACGTTTTGGGGCTGAGATAATGAAACTGCCCAGGGCACCACGGGTCTTAGCAAACCCGAATGTGGTAGTAATTGGAGGCATCTTGGAGCATCTCATGTTAGTAAACGAGACCCAAGTGGAATCAAATAATGCCGCAACCGGCCAGCCAATATTCTCACCGGGACCAACGTACGTTTCCAAGCTCCCCGAGCTGGAGGAAAAGGTGGTCGAAGTAATAGCTGGCACCATAGATCAGACCAAAAACGGGCTGCCTTCCCGGGTGCTACGCCCGAAGAAAAAATCAGAGTGAACAAACATTACTCATTAGGGGATAGAAAAGCTTTAGTATTAATGCACGCCAATGCATGCAGTATTAGGAATAAGTGGGCAGAGCTCGCCACAGTGGCTGAGGGAACAAAGGCCAAGGTAGTTGTCTTGACTGAAATGTGGCTAACGCAGGACGACCACATACCTGAACCAGTCTGAAGCCGGTTCACTGTTCAAAGGCAGGATAGGAAAATGGGTACATTGGGGGTGGAGTTGCTGTCCTAGTCGGACAGGATATACTTCATCATGAAGATAAAATAGCGCAGTGCACACGAAATGTCCAGGTGTGCTCCATTTCGCTGGTTTTACATTCCAGGACGGTTAGCATAGCAGGAGTCTACAGAAGCCCGGAATGCACACCCGAGGAGGACCAGGCACTCCTGGGAGCCCTTGATAACTTATACAGACACTCGCAAAGCGTTTGTATATTGGGAGATTTCAATTTCCCAAAAATAGATTGGGAGGTTGAGAGGGCGCCAACAGGAACACCAGAGAGCGCATTCTTAGAATGGATGCACTCGAGGGCCCTTCAACAACATGTCAGGGAGTGCACTAGGTACAGAGATGGAGTTAGATCATCTTTACTGGACCTAGTAATTACGACGAGGGAGAGGGATGTGTCAAACCTTACCCTCCATCCACCTCTGGGTAAAAGTGATCACGTCGTGATCACTACAGAAATAAGTCTAATGCATCGTAGAGACAATGCTAGGATGTCCAGGAACTACTGGGCGACAGACGTAACAGGCCTCAAGGCCAGGGCTGCAGAACTAGGATGGTCCCCAAACCACGAAAGCGCCACTATAGACCAGCATTGGCAGCAGATTAAGGCAAATATTTTGCTACTGCAGGATGAATTCGCTCCCCTGAAACCCAGGGCAGCGAAGAACAAGCCGCCTTGGTGGAGCCCAGCCATCAAAAGGGCGATACAGCGCAGGAATAGGAGCTGGCTCACCTATAAGTCAACGGGCAGCCCCAGATCCTGGGTGCAGTATACAAGGGACAGAAATAAAGCAGTATCAGTTCAGCGGGAGCTCAAACGACAATATGAGCTCAAGCTGG